TCACCTTTCAAATTAAAATGAAGGTAAATGAATAAAATTTTAAATTGGGGTAGGCATTTGACACAGCAGAATGCTCCTTGGGTTATCCACATCTCAGAGTGCTTGGTTTGAGTACCAGCTCTGGTCCTAATTCTGGCTTCCCGTTGATATACACCCTGGGAGGAGGCCTGGGTTGAGTTTCCAGCTTCTGGCTTCGGCCTGGCCCTGTCCCAGATGTTGTGCACATTTGGGGGACTGAACAAGTAAATGGGAGATCTCTCTCTCTGCCTCTCAAATAAAAAATATGTAAGAAAATACTTAGGAAAAAAGGGTAAACAAGTGAGTCACCAATCAATTCCAATTCTAAAATCTAGCCAAGCAAATAATCAAAGTTCTTTGATTAGAACTCATTCCTGCCCCTGCTAGAGAATCATTCTTGGTTCTCCATTCTGGATTATCCTGTGTTTGCAGCTGAGTTTCTCAGCCTGCTCCAGTCTGCAGAAGTTTTGGGCTCCCAAGACTTCATTTGTACTATCTCTGTCATTTTCATCCAAGCGGGTAGTAATGATACCAATGTAATTTCTTAAAAACCGAGTCTTCCATGAATAATACTGGAGTATACTCCATTAATGAAAAGCCACATCCGGGCCAGTGCCGCTGCTCAATAGGCTAATCCTCCGCCTGCGGCACCAGCACCATGGGTTCTAGTCCCAGTCAGATTCTGTCCCGGCTGCCCCTCTTCCAGGCCAGCTCTCTGCTGTGGCCGGGGAGTGCAGTGGAGGATGGCCCAACTCCTTGGGCCTTGCACCCCATGGGAGACCAGGATAAGTACCTGGCTCCTGCCTTCGGATCAGCGCAGTGCGCCAGCCGCGACAGCCATTGGAGGGTGAACCAACGGCAAACGAAGACCTTTCTCTCTGTCTCTGTCTCTCTCTCTCACTGTCCACTCTGCCTGTCAAAAAAAAAAAAAAAAAAAACACCGTACAGAGAGAACCGTCCACCTTCTCGTAGGGGGAAGCCTCTTCTACCTTGGGCTTTGCTGAGTGATAACACCCGTAAGATGCTTGCATTCTTAGAGGTTCTAGCACTTTGAGTAAATAGTTCTGAGGGACCACCTTAGAACTTCCTGGTCGTAACAAGGTGTACAGCCATCCTCAGCGCCTATCTTCAATCCCACTGTCCTCGCTGTCCTCTAAATTCCATCTTTCCCCAGAAGTGCTTTCTTAGTTTAAGCATTTGTGTGCTACCTGAGGAAGCTGGGAATTTTCAAAATCACTAAGTTTTAGCACCTGTTTGTTTAACCTATCTCATCCTCTGCTAGCATTGTGTTACTCCCAGCAAAAAGAAACAAGGGATCACCTACAGCACTGCTTGTAAATCTTAGCCACATGACCCAGCCCATGAGGTACACTCACGCACCCTACTACAGCCAACATGGTCACTGAGCCTTCTGTAATGACAAGGATAACCTTCCCCGCCGTCTCCCAGACCTTCTCACTGTCCTCTGCACCCTCACCCACAGCCTCCTTAAAAGTCAGAATTCTAAAAGTTTCTTAGAAGCTCTTCAAGCTTTCACTAGATTTGCTTCAGTCCTTCCAGCTGCCACCTACTGTCTCATTCCAAAGCCCTTTGTCAGGTAGCATCCCACTTCCAAGACCAAAAGCTTATACAGTTTCCTATCAATGTATAACAAATTACCACAAAACTCAGCAACTTATAAAACAAACATCTTTTATCTCACTTCTGTGCATCAAGAACTTGGGAGAGGGGCCGGCACTGCAGCACAGAAGGTTAAGCCTCTGCCTGCCGTGCTGGCACCCCAAGTGGACACCTGTTCTGGCTCTCTGCTATGGCCTGGGAAAGCCAAAGCAGAGGATGGCCCAAGTCCTTGGGCCCCTACAACCACATGGGAGACTCAGAAGAAGCTCCTGGCCCAGTTCCAGCTATTACAGCCAGCGGCTGGAAGCACACACTGTCGCTCAAGTAAATTAATCAATCTTAAAAAAAAAAAAAAACTTGGGAGAAGCCTAGTTGAGTGGTTCTGCCTCAGCCTCATGAAGCTGTATTCAAGACAGCACGGGTGAGCATTTGGTGTAGCGGTTAAGACATCACTTAGTATACCCACTTCCCATATCAGAGTGCTGGGTTCAAGTCCCGACTCTGCTACCGGTTCTAGCTTCCTGCTAATGTGCACCCCAGGAGGCAGCAGGAGATGGCTCAAATAGTTGGGACTCTGCCACCAACATGAGAGACCTAAATGAGTTCTTGTCCTCACACCAACCCCACTTAGGCTGTCATGGGCATTTGGAGAATGAACTGGAAGCTAGGAGTTCTCTGTTTGCATCTCTGCCTTTCAAATAATAAAAAAATAAATAAATAAATTTTAAAAGCCCATGCCTGCACACCTCTTTCTAAAGAAGTCGCTAGAGAGTGGGGGTGGCAAGTGGGCATTCCGTCTAGCAGTTAAGCCACTGGTTATGCAGCCTGCATTTCACATTAGAGCACCTGAGTTCAACACTCAGTTCCAGCTCCTAACTACAGCTTCCTGCTAATGGGGACCCGGAGAGGCAGTGATGATGGCACACGCAGTTGGGTTCCTGCCACACAGACAGGAAACCTGGATTGTGGTCCCCACTTCTAGCTTTGGCCCTGGCCCAGCCCCAGCTGTTGCAGTCATTTGGAGAGTGAACCAGTACATGGTAGCACTCTCTCTTTCAAATAAATAAGTTTTTTTAAAAAGATAATCAACCAAAGCCATCAAGATACCTCACTCAGAGGACTGCTGACATTACATGGACCTCTCCATAAGCTGCTTCCTAGTCCTCACAACACGATGGCCAGCTTCTCCCAAAGTGAGAGAGAAACAGGAGCTGCGAAGTCATTTATGATCTGGGATCAGAATTCTGACACTAACACTTGTAAGCACATTTTATTCATTAGAGTCACTAAATGTAAATGTAGTCCAACTCAAGGGGAAGGCAGTTGAGCTGCACCTTTTAAAGGAAGTATTGAAGAATTTGGGAACTTATTTTAAAAACACTACACTTGGGCCAGCACTGTGGCACAGCAGGTTAAGCTGCCACCTGAGATGCCGGCACCCCATGTGAGCACAGTGCAGGCTGCTCCACTTCCCAGCCAGCTCTCTACTAATGCACCCAGGAAAGCATAAGCAAATGGCTCAAGAGCTTGGGCCCCTGCACCCACAAGACCCAGATGAACCTCCTGGCTTCAGCCTGGCTGTTGTGGCCATTTGGGGAGTGAACCAACAAATTAAGATCTCTCTTTCTGTAATTCTGCCTTTCAAATAAGTAAATAACTCTCAAAAAAAAAAAAAAAAAATCTTGCCACACCATAACACTCAGCTCCAAGAAGAGGGATTACAGTTAACAGTGAGCAAAGGGTCTCTCTGGCTCAGGTGGTAATGGTGAAGATAGTGAAAAATGATAAAATTCTAAATACATTTAAAGGCAGAGGCCAGAGAATCTGCTGACAAAGAAAGGGTAAAAGCTGTTGAGTATTATCAGAGTGGCATTCAGCAAGAATGACTTGGCCAAGATTTCTGGAATCTTCACATTTCCATTTCTTAGTTATGATCCATTTCTCCTTCTCTGTTACACATTTCTTTTTTTTTTTTTTATAGCCCCTAAAAGATGAAACTTCTAGAGGATTCTTTTTTTTTTTTTGGACAGAGTGGACAGTGAGAGAGAGAGAGACAGAGAGAAAGGTCTTCCTTTTTTGCCGTTGGTTCACCCTCCAATGGCCGCCACGGCTGGCGCACTGCGGCCAGTGCATCGCGCTGATCCAAAGCCAGGAGCCAGGTGCTTCTCCTGGTCTCCCATGGGTGCAGGGCCCAAGCACTTGGGCCATCCTCCACTGCCTTCCTGGCCACAGCAGAGAGCTGGCCTGGAAGAGGGGCAACCGGGACAGAATCCGGCGCCCCAACCGGGACTAGAACCTGGGGTGCCGGCGCTGCAAGGCGGAGGATTAGCCTAGTGAGCCAAGGCACCGGCCAACCACTTGATCTTCACACTACTGATCAGACTGTCCAAACCCAGCACATTCTTCCAATTTCCAGTCCCCTTTTACCTATGCAGTGAACCCTTCCCTGATAAACGCGTCAAAGTAATCCCCCAAAATCACACATCCCAGAGACCACTCACCTGGACTCAGTCCTGCCTTATTGCGGGGTAAGAGCAACCAGAACTGGGCTTGAGCCCCTGCTGACTTGACTCACTTCTTAATCTAAACCTCAATTTTCTCAACGTATAAAACGTATCTACCTGGCTGGATTTTGCGGAGTGCCTGCTAACAAGAAGGGGTGTAAAGTCTCAGAAAAGTGGCCCATGCTGAAGACTCAGTCAATGCCAGGCGTTGTAATTACCCGTGGATCTCTTTCCTCCCTAACACACCGAGAGCAACTGCACGGCAAGAACCCTGCCCTTGTGTCTGTTTTAAGCCTCGGTGTTTCATACCCCGGGATTATCTGACAGAGTCGCACAAAACAAGATAAACACATGGAAAATGCTTAGCACAGTGGCCAGCACAAAACGCTCCGTAAACACAAACCAGTAACTGCCCACACGTGTGCTTCTTCATAATGCTCACAGAGCGCCCTGGTTAGGGACAGACCGGGCGCGATCCCCTCCCCCCTCAAAGTCACTGGATCTGGGCAAGTAAGGCCTGCCACCTGGCAGGTTTGGGGCAGAGACCCTCGGGGAGGGAATTTCCCAGTGTGCACCCGTCTCCCAGTGCCTGAGCTCCCGAGAGAGCAAACTGCCTTTCCCCTCTCCCCACAGCTGGACACCCTGCCCGGCCTCGCCGCAGCCCCTGCTCCCTTCCACCCTGCTCCTCTCCACTCCTCCCCAACCCACCTCTTCAGCCTTCCTCAATCCCTCTCGCCACTGACTCCCCAAAGCTGGCCCTGTCTCTGCCCTCACTTCCCCTGGACCACCTCCACGTCCTCCCAAACTCCTCCGCCCTTTCGCCTCCGCCAGGCCCCGACCCTCGCCCCAACGTCCCACCTGCACTTTCCGCCTCTTCAGAGCCGCCGCGTCCAGCCACACGCCGCAGGCCTCCTGCTCTGGGCCTCTCCGCCTCATGGCCACCGAAAAGACCCCGCGCCAAGCCACAAAGGCGCGGACTCCGGACGCCTCTGGGCCGGCCCGGGACCGCCCCCGACAGCATTCGGATCTCGCGCCAACGCTGGGGGCGGGGCTACGCCCCGGCCTCTCCGGACGCAGGCCCCGCCCCCGGCGGCGCCGCGTTCCTGCGTCAGGCCCGCCCCTTCTCCTAGGCCCCGCCCACCGCGCCGACCGTCGCGGGCCCTGGGGGCGCGTTACCGCGTCTTGTCAGCCGCGTGTTGCGGAAGCTGTTACCTGAAGACGTACACATAGTTTCCTTTTCGCCGAACTGCATTTGTTCTAACTGTAACTGCCCCGCGGCTCAGTCCTCGCCAGAGGAAGCGGAGGAGCGCGGGCGCAGGTCGGCCGTGGGGTCTTCCACACGACCCTCAGTGGTTGTCGGACCCTCGAGGGTGTGGATTGCTTCCTTCGTCAAAAAGCAAACGCTGGAACTGCACGGAGGAGGGTGTTGGAAGCACTGGGACGGCGCGACCTTAGATTTGAAAGAGGACCAAGTGAGAACTTTGTGAATTCCGAAAGCCTCTTGGAGAAGCACAAAGTCTGCGTCCTGCCACCTGCGGTCTCCATAGTGGAATATTTATTGTTTATTATAAACAGTTGTATGCGAGGGCACTTCAGAAAGGTCATGGAAAATGTAATTAAAAGATGTTCACTTTGGTGCACGAAGAGTCTGACGTCGGGGCAGGCACTGGGCTCACCGGTTAAGACGGGTTCCCTGCTTGTATTCCCTGCTCTGGCTCCCGACTCCAGCTTCCCGCTAATGAGCACCTGTGAGGCAGGGTTGACGGCAGGTGGCTGAGTACCTGCCACCAGTGTGTGGTTTGCAGCTCCTGGTCTGGGGAATGGACCAGCTGATGGGAGCTCGCTCTCTGTGTCTCTCCCAAAAAAGGCTGGGGCCAGCGTTGTGGCACAGTGGGTGGCGCTGGCATCCCTATGAGCACAACCTCTAGCTGCTCCATCCATCCACCTCCCCGCTAATGCACCTGGGCAAGCAGCAGACGGTGGCCCAAGTGCCTGGGCCCCAGTGTGGGAAATCCAGGGAGTTTCAGGCTCCTGGCTTCTGCATGGCCCGCCCAGCAGTGGCTGTTGTGGCCACTTGAGTGAACCAGCATATGGAAGAGCTTCTGTCTCTCTCTAACTCTGCCTTTAAAAAAAAAAAAAAAGGCCTGTGCCGCGGCTCACTAGGCTAATCCTCCGCCTGCGGCGCCGGCACACAGGGTTCTAGTCCCGGTTGGGGCGCCGGATTCTGTCCCGGTTGCCCCTCTTCCAGTCCAGCTCTCTGCTGTGGCCCGGGGAAGGCAGTGGAGGATGGCCCAAGTCCTTGGGCCCTGCACCCACATGGGAGACCAGAAGGAAACACCTGGATCCTGGCTTCGGATCGGCGCAGCGCGCCAGCCATAGCAGCCATTTAGGGGGTGAACCAACGGATGGAAGACCTTTCTCTCTGTCTCTCTCTCACTGTCTAACTTTTCCTGTAAAAATAAATAAATAAATAAGATAAATGCCACATTAAAAATATATTTTTAAAACCACGCAGTGTTTTTTTTGTTTTGTTTTGTTTTGTTTGTTTGTTTTTGACAGGCAGAGTGGACAGTGAGAGAGACAGAGAGAAAAGTCTTCCTTTTGCCGTTGGTTCACCCTCCAATGGCCACCGCGGCCGGCGCACTGCGCTGATCCGATGGCAGGAGCCAGGTGCTTCTCCTGGTCTCCCATGGGGTGCAGGGCCCAAGCACTTGGGCCATCCTCCACTACACTCCCCGGCCACAGCAGAGAGCTGGCCTGGAAGAGGGGCAACCGGGACAGAATCCGGCGCCCCGACCGGGACTAGAACCCAGTGGGCCGGCGCCGCAGGCAGAGGATTAGCCTATTGAGCCACGGCGCCGGCCAAAACCATGCAGTTTTAAACAATACACACTTTCCATTAGCTTTCAATGACCTTAGTAATATGTATTGTATGTTTTATAGTATAAGATGCCCCAGAATATTATAGCAGTGAAGTGATTTTTTTTTAATTCATTTGAGGCTTTTTTTGCTTCCTAATTTTCCTTCATGCCTCATACATATATTAGTATGTGCTATGGAAGAAAGCAGCAATGTAAAAGGTAACATAAGGGGCAGGCATTTGGCGTGTGATTGAGTCACCGCTGAGGACATCCTCATCCCATACTGCACTGCCTCCGTTTGAGTCCAGCCCCACTCACGATTCCAGTTTCCTGCTAATTTGCACCCTAGGAGGTGGCAGGTGATGGCTCAAGTACTTAGGTCCCTGCCACCTTCGTGGGAGACCAGGATTGAGTTCTGGGCTCCTGGCTTTAGCCTGGCCCAGCCCCAGCTGTGGTGGGCATTTGTGGCATGAACCAGTAGATCGGAGATTGTTCTCCATCTGTTTCCCTGTCCCTGTTTCTGCCTTTCAAAAATAAATAAAATTATAAAGTCAATATATAAAGTCCTCCTTTGTTAAATTATAAGGTGGGTTTATATGTTAGACACATTCCTTTAACTACTTTAAAAATTTATTTAGTCATAAAATGCCCCCACTCCCTTGCCAAAAAGTTTCATGTTACATATTTTATATGTGTGTAGTATGTGTATTAAATATATATAAATGCATACATGTGTATCTATAAAATACAGAAAGTCGTAACCCTATCCAGGCAGATATAAAACAGGAACTGCTCCCCCCTCCATCACACCACCCCCAGGGGCCCCAGCTTCCTCAGGAAAACCTCTCCCCAACACTGCGAACAGGGCCCACCCCCTGGGACCAGAGACAGAAAGCAGAGAGGCAGCTGTAGTTACAGTCACTTTATTGCATCCAGGACCTGTCAGAGTGCAGGCCACCACTAGCTCAGCTCCCCTAACTCTTCCCTCTGCACCTCTGGGCCTTTGCACAGGTTCTTCCCGTCTGCCTGTAATGTCCGTCCTGTTCTGAGCAAGCTCCTGTTTACCCTCCCCAGCCCGAGAGCCTCAGGGCCTCGGGAAAGCTGACTGTTCCCTCCCCAGGGCTCTTCACCATCCTGCATCAATCCACAGGGCCCAGCTGGGTAGCCTGCCTCTGTCTCAGGAAACACTGAGTAGATAACGGAATCGTGAGCCAGGAAACCAGGAGAGAAGCTGGGAACAGGCTGCACGGGACAAGGAGGCCAGAGCGAGGAGATCTGGGGCTCACTGGGGCAGTGACTGGAGGAGTAGGGGGTCCCAAGTGAGGTCGATGTGCATCTGGCACGATCTTCTACTTCTGGGGGCTCTCCGGAGCGCCAACGCCTCGCGAACTACGGTTCAAGGGACAGTAAGATTCCACACCAAGTTTGGGCCTGCCTCTTCCCCATCCACCAATGACATCTGGATAGAGGTGGGCTGCTGAGGCCTCTCCTGCCTCTCAGCTCAAATCTGACTGTGATCCAAGTTTCACCTCTCACCCAAATAATCCGGGAGCCCCAAATTCACCCCTAGAGAGGGGCAGTAAAGGGGCGCGTCAGGATGGCCCAAACCTTCATCTCTGTCCCTCTCCCAGGACAGGGAGCTGAGGCGGGTCCAGCAGTGGACCCAAGCAGCTCTGAGCCAGTCCCCAAATCCAAGCACTGGCTAGTGCCACCCTTGGCGTTGAGTGCGCAGGGAGTCACCGCGGGCCAGACACAACCAACTTTACCAGGCCTTGTTCCCCCACTACACCTCCCTCCCTGCCAGCTGCCTCCCCCTCACTTGGTCTTCTGCTCGAGTTTGCGCCGCACGAGCTGGCTCAGGAAGAACGCCGTGAGGACACTGCTGCCCACGGTGAGCAGGAAGAGGCCGGAGAAGTTGTGGGGCCAGTGGGTGTGCAGAGGCTCATAGATGGGCCGCCGGGCCTCATAGTCCAGCGTCACGGCCTCCAGCTGAGCCAGCGTGCACAGCACCAAGAAGACGTGGAAGAGTTGGTGGCCCTGCCCGAAGACGTGGCAGCTCCCGGGGAACCAGCGCTCGGGCATGACGGTAGAGAAGAAAGCAGCAGCCAGCAGAAAAAACACCACCTGGCACTTGTGGTAGAGCAGGGCGGGGTCGTCTGCGGCAGGGTCAGGGGTCACCAAGATGCGGTGTACCACAGGGCTGATGTCCAGGGCGTAGGCCAGCATGGAGGGCACCTCCTGGCACGTGCGGCCCAGCAGGCCCCCCTTCTGGATGTACTTGTTGTAGCAGGAGCCCATACAGGAAAGCCAGGCAAGGAAGGCAGCTGTGGGCAGGAACATGGCCTGCACCTGCGAGTGCCAGGAGGGCTCGATGGCATAATAGAAGTGCGCCAGGGCACTGCCGAACTGGTACACGGCCACACCCACGTAGTCTAGGAAGAAGAAACTGTAATGCCAGAACTCGGACTTGGCCTGCAGGAGGTGAGCCAGGGCACTGAAGGAGAGGTAGGTGAAGGAGGCGATGACGATGATGAAGAGGGGCAGGGCGTGCGGGTCCCCTCGGAAGTCCACGGTCCCCATGAAGACGGCCAGCCGCAGCAGCAGCACCAGGGCCGCCAGCAGGTGGGTCCACACGTTCACAGCCTCGTTGTGCTGCTGGAAGAGCGTGCGGAAGTAGAAGCGCCAGGTCTGATGCAGCGGCCGGTAGCCCACATAGATGTACGGCTTCCAGAAGAGGGGCGGCACCTCGGCTCGGTCCACCGTGAAGACAGGCTCTGGCTGTGGAGACACCTGGGCGACCTGGCGCAGACTGTACAGGAAGTGGCTGAACTTCTGGGCCACCGCCATGGCCATGGCCGTGGGCCTGGGCAGGGAGCTGGGAGAGAGGCCAGACCAAAGTCAGGGACCGAGTGTCCTCATTACCCAGTGCCCAGCTCTCACCCCTTCCTCCCACACCCTCACACGTCCGCGGGGTCTGAGCAGGGGCAGATTCACCCCATGGAGGAGCTCAGCTTTGCGCCTGAAAGCAAGGATCGTGGTTTTGTTCCCGACGGGTCCCACGTGCTGAGTGGGATCTACTACCTGGCACGCAGTAGGTGCTCAATCACGTAGCAGGTGCATGACATAACAAGGCTCCCTGCCTCCATCATTTCCTCTCCAGTCCTGGCTCCACAAAGCAGCCCCAGCTGCTTTCTCTGCTGAAGGACAGATGTGGCCAGGCCGAACACACGAGATGGAGGCGGGCGCTCTCAGCCCCCGTGTCTGTGCCGCCATCGGTGTTCAGCTGGTGGCAGTGATGACCTTGCTAAGAGACCGGATGTCCCCGCCTATAGCCCCTTCAGGGTGGCCAAGGCCTCCCTCCGGCCTCCGGGACTCTGCAAGAGCGGCTCCCTGCCTCCGTCTCTAGCCTCGTTGCTCAGCCGCAATGCCCTAAACCCCGTCACAGCCCCACCAGACTCCTGTGTCTGCAGCTTCGCATAAGCTGCTCTCTCTGCCTCACCCTGCATACTTGACAAACTCCTACTCATCCCTCAAAGCCCATTCCTTCTCCGAGACTTTCCTCAGCTCCCGGGACCTCCTGCGATGATCCCTGTATTCGAGTGCCTGCCGCTCTGACCCATATGACGCTTTTTATTGAGGGCAGGCAACTTGTCTCATTATTCTGCGACCCCGTGGTGCTTAGCACGTAGCTGACGCTCAGCGTTTGCTGAATGAAAGAAGAGCAGTGTTCTGACCACACTTCCTACTCTTCAAGGCCCAACTCAAAAAGCTACTTTTTCCCTGCAAGTCCCCAATGATAACAAAGCCTATAAAACCAGCCCCTTTGTTCAGCCTCACCCTAACTCTCAAGTTCCCCCACCTCCAGGCCCTCCCCGCTACTGCCCATGGTTGCTTGTTCCAAACACATCCCATCTAACCCCACCTCAGGACCAGCATGCGCCCCCATTTCCCACCTAAGCCTAACAGTGTCACGCTCTGAGCCAGTGTCCCTTGTCTGCACTGAAATCAAAGTTTAAGTTTCCGGCATCCCCCCTTTTCCCTGATCTACAATGGATTACACAGTTTAGCCTTTAAAACACATTCATTCATTCATTCAGCAAACACTTACCAAGCCCTTCTCTGCCTCACAGCCTATGCTAGATCCAAGGGCGGATGGAGCGGAAGAGGACCTGATCCCTGCCCCTGGGGACGCCATGGTCTGCCAGAGGCTACAGGAGAGAAATAAGCCGCAGCAGATGCTGACCCAGCACTCGCTATGTGCCAGGCACTGTATTAAGCACTCTGTGGATAACTGACTCTTTGGAGCTTTGAAGCCAGCCTTGAGGTAGATACTATCAGGATTCCCATTTTCCAGATAAGGAAACTGAGGCACAGGGACATTAAGTACCTTGCCCCTCTATGCTGCCAGGAAGTCACAGGGACTCGCTCTGAACCCTGCACTCCCCAGCAATCACCCTAAATGGCCCTTTGCAAAATCTCGTGGCCAGTGCTATTAGTCATTTCAGAATGACACACTGTTGCATCTGATACCAGCCGCTTGCCTCAGGCTTATCTTCCTTTTCTGTGTCATTCATTAACTCAAATATTTATCGAAAATCCTTCCAGACAACTCCCGCACTGCCAAATCAATTCCCTTCAACAAGCATATTATCCCTCGTCCACCAGATAGCTCCTGCCACTGCCTTGGCTCCCGGCCCCGCAGGAAGCAGAGACTCGGGCAGGACCAAGCACTCAAGTTCTCTGCCATCTGCGGCACCGTGATCGCCCCCAAGCCACACAAACAGTCCACACACAGCGTAAGTGCAGGCGCTCACGGTGCCAAGGCAGCGGCAAGCCCAGCCCTCCACGGCCCGGGCGCATCCCGAAGCTCCTCCTGCACCAGCGCCCTGGGGTCAGCGCTGGTTCTTGGCTCTTCCTGGCCTGGCGTGACGCAGGAGTTCAGTCAGTCACATAGCACTGCACACAGGCGAGGCTGGGACTCAGCTCCTGCCTGTTCCCAGAGAGCCTGACAGCAGGCAGCTTTAGGAAGCAGACCTTGCTCGTGAGTGAACTCATTAACGGGGGCTCTGTGTGCACCCCCTGGCCTGCCGGCGCTGGAGATCCTCCTCTCCCCGGGAAACTGGTCTCCTGCCTTGGCACTCTGGCCTCCACTCCTGGTGGCAACTTTGTCCTCTCAACTTGGAAAAGACCCCAGAAGCATCCAGGGCAGCCCCTTGTCTCCCGTGGAGAAGACCGGACCCCTTGCCTAGAGCGGGGTGCCAGCAGGATTTCTGTCCCACCATGGGAAAAGACCAAAGAGAACGAGGAAGGTCGCTGGCCCTGTCCAGGACTCTAAGTCCAGTTTCTGTGCTCCGTACGCCACTCTTGGAACCTTCCAAGGATTAACAGCACAGGAAAGGCTCTGAGAAGTCCTGCAGCAAAAAAGCCTGCCAGCTTTTATAAAAAATGTATCTGAGAGGTAGACACACACACACACACACACACACACACAGAGTTAGAGAGGGAGCTCCCTTCTCGCTTACTCCCCAGTGCCTACAACCGTCCAGGTCAGGGCAGGAGCCAGGAGCCGGGAACTCAATCCAGGTCTCCCACCTGGATGACAGGAACCCAAACACTTGAGCCATCACCACTGCCGCAGGGTCCACAACAGTAGGAAGCTGGAGCCGGAGATGGATGCCAGGGACTCTGATGTGGGATGCGGGCATCTTAATCAGCACCCTACCCACCAGGCCAACGCCGGCCCCCGCCTAGCTCTGTGTAGCTGCGTTTGCCTCACTCCTGCCAACACGGATTCCTGTCCCCGTAACGATGATAAAGACAGTGGGGACATAAGAAGCTCTTCACTGTCGCGCTGTAATTCACTCTCCTAACCTGCCTGGGAGGTGGGGATTACAATGTCCATTCCATTGTTGTGGATGGTGATATTCAGGAAGGTTAAGAACCCTTATCCAGGGACCAGCGTTGTGGCGTAGCAGGTAAAGCTGCCACCTCTGACGCCAGCATCCCATATGGGCACCGGTTCACATCCCAGCTGCTCCACTTCTGGTCCAGCTCCCTGCTAATGGTCTAGGAAGGGCACCAGAAGATGGTCCAAGTGCTTGGGCCGCTGTACCCACGTGGGAGATCCGGATGAAGATCCTGACTCCTGGTTTCAGCCTGGCCCAGCGCTGGCCATTGCAATGATCTAAGGAGTAAATCAATAGATGGGAGATCTGTCTCTCCCTGTCCCTCTGCAACTCTTTCAAAATAAACCTTAAAAAGAAATAAATATGAAAATTAAAAACCACTCCTTATCTGAGGTCATGGAGAAAGAGGAAGAGTCTGTGGTAGAGCCTGGGCTTGGGCCCAGCTCTCTGGCCACAGAGCAGACACCCCGAGCCCTCTCTGCCACCGTCCTGGTCCCAGTCACGCCGTACGCGTCCCACAGAATGACTCTGGGAATCACCAGTCTCAGGCAGGCCCAGGTGCTTTCCCGCAGGCTGCGAGTAACCGACGCACCCGGGGCCCGCGGTCTCTGCATCTGGGCAGTGCCGGCTCCCAGGTGTGCCAGCGCACACTCACAGCCTCCCTCCCCGCCGCATGGGGGGCCCTAGCAACACCACCCGGAGGAACAGACCAGGAGGACAGAGGTCCTGCTGGCCCATTTCCTTTAGACAGGGGCCCCAGGCCATCCAAACAGGTCTGCCCTCAGAATTCATTCCCGTCTCCTAACTGGGCAAAGGGACCATGAGTCCAGGGGAAAGGAAGGCACAAGGGCAGGGATGCGGGTGGGTATCCGGAGGTGCCAGTGGGGCCCGCCATGCCGCGAGGCCCTGCCCTTCCTGGCTGCCCAGCCCTGTCCAGCCCCACGGCCCCCTCCAAGCCCCTCAGTGGCGCTGGGTACCTGGAGCTTCTCTCAAGCCTGGGGGCCGATGGCCTGCTGTGGGACGAGGCAAATGTGCCGGATGCCAAGCACCAGGTGGCACTTCCACAGGTAAGGGGCACCGGGGCGGGGCTTCCAGGGACTGGGGGTGTCTTGTGTGATGTCACCAGAGGGCGGGGCTGAAGGCAGCCTCCCACGCCTCTGTCCTTGCTCCCTTTATCACTCCCACATTGGTAGAAAGCCCCGTGCTCTTCTAGCCAGGCCTTGGCTGCAGAGAGAAGAGAAGCTCACCATCAACCTCTGCAGGAGATGTGCGGGGAGACCGAGGACAGCTGAAATGCCGTGACTTGCGCCGCAAGGCAAGGGCGAAGGCAGGGAGGGGCCAGGCGCCCAGGACCTGGTTAATGGATGTCAGGCCAGGGTGGCTGGTTCTGACCCCTAGGGAAGCTAGGAATAAAAGCGAAAGCAGATGTGATGGAGGCCCATGACTTCAGATTCAGAGAAGCAAGCTTGGCTCCCGATGCTGTAACATCAGCTGTGTGACCTTAGACAAGTGACTCAGCTTCTCCGATCCTCAGTTGCCCCATGGGAATCACAATATTATCTACTTCATAGATTGCTGCAAAGATTAAACCTCCTAGGACTAATCTTAGCACAGATTAGGGACCCAGTAAATGCAGCAATATATGAACCAGCCCTGGCCCGAGAGATTCGCGTGAGGTTCTCTAATGCACTCAGTCCACCTGTAGCCCTCAGTAACTGCTTCTGCTGGAAACTGCACCTCCTTAAACGCTCACCTAAACATGCGGCCAGAGTCGGCACTACGGCACTACAACCTTACTTAATAATTAAATTGTTCCTGGCAAAGACTTTCAGGAAAACCCCTCCGGATCAGAGCCTTGACAACTGGCACTTGTACCCGGAGAGGTGGCTGGGAAGGACCCACCAAGAAGAGGACCACACCCCAGCAGCCCCAGGGGCCCTGTCCCCAGGAGGGCACAGCAGGGGGGAGGGGTATTTTAGCAGACAACAAATCTTGGGGAGTAAAAAGGTCATTTTGGGCATTCTCAAGGTCAAGAGGTTCCTACAAAAAAGCTCACAGAAAAATGGAATTAAGAAAAGAAGAACTTTAGGGGTAGGGGTTTGACCCAGGGGTTAAGGCACCATCTGGGAGGCCTGCAGCTCCTGTCAGAGTGCCTGAGTTCAAGCCGTAGCTCTGCGGATGCCAACTCTCTGCTGGTGCACACCCTGACAACACCCTGACAAGCAGCAGTTGATGGCTCACGGGTCTGGGTTCCTGACCCAGCTTCAGCCTGGCCCAGCCCAGGTCAGCTATGTGCAGGCATCTGGGGAGTGGATCAGCAAAGGAAAGATCAATCTCTCTCTCTCTCTCTCTTTCCTTTTTTTTTTAAATTTATTTGACAGGCCGGCGCCGCGGCTCACTAGGCTAATCCTCCGCCTAGCGGCGCCGGCACACCGAGTTCTAGTCCCGGTTGGGGCGCCGGATTCTGTCCCGGTTGCCCCTCTTCCAGGCCAGCCCTCTGCTGTGGCCAGGGAGTGCAGTGGAGGATGGCCCAGGTGCTTGGGCCCTGCACCCCATGGGAGACCAGGAAAAGCACCTGGCTCCTGGCTCCTGCCATCGGATCAGCGCGGTGCGCCGGCCGCAGCACACCGGCCGCGGTGGCCATTGGAGGGTGAACCAACAGCAAAAGGAAGACCTTTCTCTCTGTCTCTCTCTCTCTCACTGTCCACTCTGCCTGTCAAAAAAAAAAAATTTTTAAAAAATTTATTTGACAGATAGAGTTAGTGAGAGACAGAGAGAAAGGTCTTCCTTCCATTGGTTCACCCCCCAAATGGCCACTACGGCCGGCGCTACGCTGATCCGAAGCCAGGAGCCAGGTGCCTCCTCCTGGTCTCCCATGTGGGTGCAGGTGCCCAAGCACTTGGGCCATCCTCCACTGCACTCCCGGGCCACAGCAGAGAGCTGGACTGGAAGAGGAGCAACCGGGACAGACTCCGGCGCCCCAACCGGAACTAGAACCCAGTGCCCATATGGGGTGCCGGCGCCACAGGTGGAGTATTAACCTAGTGAGCCACGGCGCCGGCCCCATCTCTCTTTCTCTTTCTCTCTTCACCCTCTCTCTGATTTTCAAGTAGATGAAAAGAAACATTAAAATTAAAAAAAAAAAAAAATTCCAAAAGATGAGGTTGAAGATTAGTTCAAGACTTCCAGCAACTGGTAAGAGTGTGATACTGAGGTCTTCTGTACCAGCCCTGTGTCCCCAGGCGTGGATTCAGACAACTGCAGACTGAAGATACTCTTGAAATGCCGTCTGTACTGGACATGTTTGTTGCTCCTGTCATTGCTCCCTAAACAGTACAGCGTAAGAACTATTCATGTAGTGTTTACATCACATTAGACGTTGCTAGTAACCCAGAGGTGACTTAAAGTGTGTGAGAGGATTGCATAGGCGATAGGCAAACACTGCCTTTTCTATGAGGGACGTGGGCATCCATGGATTTGGGTTCCCATGGGGTCCTGGAACCAATGCCCCCCACCCACCCCCCGCCCCGCCGCCCCGTACCAAGTTCCAGAGCCTCGTGCTGCACTGTCCACGTGCCTTCCGAGGCCCAGGGCTCATGGTAACGACGGCTGCTCAGCCTTCCAGATGAGTCAGTATTTGTCTTCCTTTACTTGGAAAACAGCAAGACAGCCCTGCACTGCCAGCTCAGAAGGCTCACTGCACCCCAGGCACCGCATCAGGGCTTAGCCCTGCGGCTCCCTCCAGCGCCACTCACTGGGAAGGGAGATGGCCTGTCACTGCGCTTTCCGCTCACACAGGGCCCTGGGAGCAGCCAAGTCCCGGCTGCTCCACTTCCAATACAGCTCCCTGCTAGTGCACCTGGTGACCCAAGTCCCTGGGCCTCTGCACCCACGTGGGAGACCCAGGGGAAGCTCCTGGCTCCTGGCTTCGGCCTGGCCATCCCAGCCATTTGGGGAGTAAACCAGCAGATGGAAGATCTCTCTCTTTCCTTCCCTTTCTCTGTAATTCTACCTTTCAAATACATAAATAAATCTTTTAAAAAAAACAGCAGTAGTAAAATTCACCAAGCATTTACTCTATAAAGAGAGAGAGAGAGAGAGAGTCTGAAAGGGACTCAGCTCATCCCCTGGAGCAATGCACACACACAGGTCACAGTGTGTCCACAGAGAAACTTGCACTTTCAAAGGAAAAGTCCACTGTGTGGGACATGACCTGACTGCTGAAGGGAGGTGCCCCGGGGCCTGAGAATAAACACTATTCAAAGCTCCCCCCAGCCTACAGCCAGCACACAGGGAAGAGCTTTGCCTGGACATGCGGGCTACAGCAGAGCCCGGGCTCCAGATGCCTCTCTGGCAGCGTCACCATCCTCTGAGCTCACTGGGAATTCAGCCCCAGAGCCTTCACCACAGGAAGAGGGCCAGGGGCGGGCCTGGAATTCAATGAAGCCGGCCTTCCAGCAGCCTCTGGCTTTAGGGCTTCCAGACTGTACTACGCCTTTCACTGCGTTCATTCATAAATGTAACAATCATTAAGGCATCAAGCGTCTTCAACCAAGAACCAGGGGCAGGGGAGGGGAGGTGGACCCACAGGCCCACCACATACTGTAGGCGGCAGTTAGGCCCAACAGCTATGAAATCTCCTGGTTAAAAGAAGTCACAGCAGGCCAGCGCCACAACTCACTAGGCTAATCCTCTGCCTGCGGCGCTGGCACACTGGGTTCTAGTCCCGGTCGGGGCGCCGGATTCTGTCCCGGTTGCCCCTCTTCCAGGCCAGCTCTCTGCTGTGCAGTGGAGGGTGGCCCAAGTGCTTGGGCCCTGCACATGCATGGGAGACCAGGAGAAGCAGCTGGCTCCTGCCTTCGGATCAGCGCAATGCACCACCTACGGCAGTACACAGGCCGCGGCAGCCATTGGAGGGTGAACCAATGGCAAAGGAAGACCTTTCTCTCTGTCTCTCTCACTGTCCACTCTGCCTGTCCAAAAAAAAAAAAAAAAAGGCAGTCGCAGCAGCAATCTTGATAGAAATTTCATCTGATTGTGAGTTAGGACACAAACTTTCTTTTTTAAAGATTTATTTATTCATTTATTTGAAAGGCAGAGTGTCAGAGAGATTTTTCTCTCCACTGATTCACATCCCAGGGCTCGGCCAGGCCAAAGCCAGGAGCCAGGAATTCCATCCAGGTCTCCCACATGGGTGTCAGGGGACCAAACACTTCGGCCATCTTTTGTTCCCTTCCCAGACACCTTAGCAGGAAACTGAATCAGAAGCAAAGAAGCCAGGACTTGCACTGGCACTCCAATATGGGACGCCAGTTTTGCAAGAGACAGCTTAACCCACTAAACCACAACACCAGCCCCAGGACATGAACTTGGTCGTAGTCCCATAGGCGGTAGAAAATCTACTAAGTTCCCATGAAACTCGGCGTCTTTCAGCAAGAAGACTCACATCTTGGGAGATTCTGCTGTGCCCTTCTAATCTCCACCTGAAACACTGCAACTTACCCTGCCACTCTCCAGCCTCGGGCCAGTGGGGACCACGGTCGCGTGAGTGCACTGAGCCGCCTCTCAGGCTGACTTAGGAGATACTCCTTGGACAACTCTAAGCTAAAAAATTTCTAAAGATTTATTATTTTGGAAAGAGTTACAGAGAGAGAGAGAAAGAGAGAGATCTTCCATCTGTTGGCTCACTCCCCAGATCATCACATCTGGCAGAGGCCGGGAGCTTCATCAGGATCTTCTACATGGGTGCAGGGGCCCAAATACTTGGTTCATCTTCTGCTGCTTTTCCCAGGCCATTAGCAGAGAGCAGCATCAGAAGTGGAGCAGCCGGGACACGAACAGGTGCCCATATGATAGGACGCCAATGTCACACAGGCAGTGGTTTTACCTGCTGCGCCATAATACCAGCCCTGATAATTCTTATTGACAGGTCTCATTCCAAAAACTCAGAAGGGAGATATCAGGCAAGGTATGCCGCTGTAGCCCAAAGTGAGCTGACAGCAAAGGGAACTCCCCCACCACGTCAAGTCAGCTCAGCCTGCAGAACCAATGTCCTGTTTTCCCCAGGCCTGCCATGTGGCAGAGGACAAATCAGCCCTGGGAGCTACTAGTGTGCATGGGGACATCACAGCGGTTCCTTCTGGCCAGCTCCAAGACAGAAAGGCAGAGGAAGCTTAGGGTGCACTTTCAGGGTCTCTGACCCAGGCTGGGAAAGAGCGAGTCCAGCCTCCCTGGCCGGCCTGGGGGAGGAAAAGCAGCAGGTGGACAACGGGCAGCAGAGAGGCCTTGCCTTGTAAAGCTGCTCTCGGGTCCACAGCGCCCCAACATCACAACCAAAGTCCATCACCTTTAAAGCTCTGAACCCGTTCCAAAACAACAAGGCCTAAGGGAGTTGTGAACCAGGAACCATGGACGAAAACCAAACCATGAGGCGGGCCTCGTGGCAGAGCGGTATTGGAGTGCCTGGATTTGAGTATTGGCTCTCCCACTTCCGATCTGGCTCCCTGCCCCTGTGCCTGGGAAAGCAGTGGAAGATGGCCCAAGTGCTTGGGCCCCTGTTGACCATGTGGGAGACACAGATGGAGCTCCTGGCTCTGGCGTAGCCCAACTCTGGTTGTTGCAAGCATTTAGGGAGTGAACCAGAACATAGACGCATACACGCGTTCTGTCACTCAGTTTTTCAAATCAATAAAGATATACTTTTTTTTTTTTTTTTTACAGGCAGAGTGGACAGTGAGAAGGAGAGACAGAGAGAAAGGTCTTCCTTTGCCGTTGGTTCACACTCCAATGGCCGTGGTGGCCGGCGCGCCGTGGCTGGGCACTGCGCTGATCCGAAGACAGGAGACAGGTGCTTCTCCTGGCCTCCCATGGGGTGCAGGGCCCAAGCACTTGGGCCATCCTTCACTGCACTCCCAGGCCACAGCAGAGAGCTGGCCTGGAGGAGGGGCAACCGGGACAGAATCCGGCGCCCCGACCGGGACTAGAACCTGGTGTGCCGGCGCCGCAAGGCGGAGGATTAGCCTAGTGAGCTGCGGCGCCGGCCAAAGGGTGAACCAACGGCAAAAGGAAGACTTTTCTCTCTGTCTCTCTCTCTCTCTCACTGTCCACTCTGCCTGTCAATAAAAAACAAAAAAAAAATGAAAAATAAATAAAAAAAAAAAAAACTGAGAGGCAGATCCCAAAGGGAGAACCATCAGATCAAATAGAATTTGGCCTAAAGCTGCCTCTGTGTGTAGGGGACGAGAACCTAAGTAATAGGCAGACAAGCTGCAACCTAACTTGAGAGTATCATCTTCTAAGGAGGAGCTGAGTCTCACCCACTCAGCCCCGGGAACCTCAG